TAATCAAAAATAATCTTTCATATATCTCCATCTTTGGGAATATAAATCTTTTTTCAACATGAAATTAAAACAAATTTTCAAAATCAACTTATTTTTGAGATCATTAGCAATCTGAGACTTCTCTTATTTATTCTTAATGTTATCCTTAAACTTTCAATGGAAAAATTCTTCCTTATGAGTTAGATTCTTCAAATTATATCTGGAGGCTTAATGTTTTGGTTAATACTTTCCTTTAAAATTAGAACTAAAATTGAGCTAATGTTTGATTAATAATTTCAATTAAAATTTCTATGAATTTTAACAAAATAACCAAATAAAAACTTACTACACGATAAGAAAGCATAATATTTTTAATGAAAATAATCTTTTTTAACATATACAATCATTATAAACTTTTCCTTGCAAATGTTTTTTGCTTTTTAATTATCAAAAAAACTATTAATTTTAAATACTTAAATACTTCCTAGTAGTCCTTTCTACTTATTCAAAAGTCAAAAAAAGAGTCATATTCAAGGAAGCAAATTTCAAAATAATTAATAAAATAAAATCTAATAATAACGTACATAAAAAAATAAAAAAAAATTTTCTTTTACTTTTATTAGATATGCATGAAAAATTTTTCCTAGATTATCATTTTATTCTTTTAAATATTTTTCACGCTTCATCAACTATTTATTTTGCAATATATTGCAAAATTTCATATGTAAAAGTATTAATAATATATTTTATTAACCGTCATTTTATATTATAAATTTCAAAAAAAAATAAATATTTCTTATGATCTACTTTTTCTATTAATTTTCAGTTAAATTTATTTTTATACATTTATAGTTAAGTTTGTATATATCATTAAAATAATATATAAATAGAATGTGATAAAAAAAAAAATAATTAAAATAAATAAATTTACAAAATAATTACTATAATTAATTATATAATTATATTAAAGATACTTTTTTAAAGTTTATATTCAAATTTGTTCTAAATACCTTTTAAAAATTACAATACTATTTATTTTAGTAGAACTATCATTTTATAAGACTGTAACTTAGTAATAATATATATTCATGAGATAATAGCATGTTGAGATGATTGTATTTTTTTTTATTTTTCTATCAAAATTACAATTATTTTAAATTATATATTTTTTTAAACATTTGAAAATTTTTTCTTTTTTTTTAATTTATAAAAGAATTAGATGAAATACTATTTACTTATTTGCATTTGCTATATTATTTTGTGATTATAATTTAAATAAAGATATAACATCTTAATTACTGTTAAAATTTTTTTTATCTGTATACTATATTATTTTTACTTATAATTGTTATATATATTGGAATAATCATAGATAACATTGATTATCATGAATTTTTTCTTTATTTTTACTCAAATAATATTATTTTTATATAATGAATATGTGCATGAGCTCAATTTCAGTTTTAATTAATATTTTTTTTACCGTGATTAAAGTTTAAATGTATAATACAATCACATTTTCATGATTAAAATAAAATTATTATTATTATTTTCAATACATATTTTATAATGTATATTATAATTTTTATTATAAAATAGAATTTACAATTATTTTTTTAATTACAGTAAATACATATATTTGCTTTATCATTTTTTTATTTTTTTATTTTTTTATTTTTTGAAATTTTTTAATTTTCTCATTTTTAATCCATTTTTTTCGTTATAATTACGATTATTAAGTAGAAATATATGAAAATATTAAAACATGCATAAATTTTTAATGTCAACTTCATTTCCCCTTTTAACCAAACTGCATTATATTAGAAACCATTAATTGTTAAATAATAATAATTAGAACTATAATAAATCATATTTAGAATTAAATGAAAAAGATTACCAAATATTCTATTCTTAAAATTTCTCTAATATTATATCATAAAAATATAATGAATTATTATCATCGCTTTTACATCCTAAATTATAACATAATTATTTTCTTGTTTTATATTTTTCTTTTCTATTATTGTTATAATTAGTAATGTTTTGTTACATTAGGTTCAAGAATACCGTTTATAATCACGAGGATTGTTAATTGCATGAATATTATTCCTTGTTATCCACAAAAATTTTTGTTATTTAAATTTTGTCCTTTCTATTCTTTTATGAAAACGAAAAATTAGTTGTATATAAAATCTTTATTCTAAGGGAAATTGTTAAAAAATATATTCCACTATTATAATTAAATATTTAGTGTAAATGTTAAGAATTTCATTAATCTATTCTCTATTTATTATATAAATATACAATTTCCATAAGAATCTTAAATAAAAATTAAGTAAATTTTTTTTTTTTTTTTTTTGAATATTTAAGTGTTTATTATTTTTATTTTTAATTTTAAAATTTTAATTATTTTATTTTTTTCTTAGTTTTTAATATTAAATATACTTAAAAATATATATGTGTGTATAAATAAAAAAAAATAAACAGAATAAATAATGTTACATCTAATATTTATACATATGCTAAAAACAATTCTCACATAAATAGAAGTCGTATTAACAATTATATGTCAACTACAAAAATATATAATAAAAGTAGGAAAAAAATGATGATAAATTTTTTTATAAAAATTATTATATTTACTTTCTTAATATGGATGTTACAAGATTCTAGTAATGTAGGATAATAATAACTTTTTAAATTTTTTATATATTTTCGTTATTAATATTATTTTAAGCTAAAATTTTATTACATAAACAAATTTATTTATTATGTTGAATGTTCCCATATTTTAGTGTTTTTACTATCAACTTTAGAAATGCAAGATCAACTTAGAAAAGAAGTTAAATCTAGAATCTAAAAGATCCTTGGCAGAAAGTAAGAAAGAATTAAATTCAGAAAGCGAGGTAATAAAAATGTGCATATCAGGTGAATTAACTTTTTTTAAACAACGAGATGTTGCAAAAGTAACTTTACATTTAAAAAAAAAAAAGAAAGATGAAAGTGACAAAAAAGTTGAAGAAACAAATGAAGAAATAGAAGAAAAAATTATTGAAATGGATGACTTAAATAAAAAGTTAGATGAATTTAATGACATGTTAGAGGAATTAAATGAAATGATGGAAAATAAATTAGAAAATGATACATTAGATGATATGGATATAGAAAAAGGGTATTTAATTGAGACAATTAAGAAAAAAAATAAAATAAGCTTTAATAAAAAAAAATTATGCAAATATTTAAAAAAGTTAAAACCAGAACCTATAGTTTCTATTCTTTTCCTACCATTTGTTGCATGCATATTATCTATGATAACATTTGCAACAAATAATTTTCAATTGTATAATATAACTGTTTTATTTCTTAGTTTATCTCTTATATTAACGTCGATCCTTGTAATAAATACAAAAGAAAATAAAAATGTTTCATAAAAATAAATAACATTTTTATATGTTAAATGTCTAAATTAAATATTTTGTTATAGTATTATGCAATCAAACTAATAAAGAATATATAAAGAAAACTCTATTTGTTTTATTTGTTATAAAACCATGTTACAGATAACTTTTTATTCTATAAATAATTATACTATAATGTAAGATAAATAATTTTAATTTATATTCTATTTTTAATCTAGTTCTTATATAGATATATGAAAAATTATAATATGTTATTAAAGACTTAAATTATATTTACATCACCAACATTTATGATATATTCATATCACTTTTTTTCATTTCATATAAAAAGAAAATTTTTTACTCATGAAAAAAAAAAATTTTTTTTTTTCATATCCTTTCTTTATACACGTAAATTAATACACAAATATGTTATTATACCTATTTTATTATGCTTATTTTTGTTCATATATCTTTATTTATCTTTAAATTTATATCAATGTGTATATATTTATTAATCATCTTGCATGCACTAGCAACTTTTATATTATCTTTTTCGTCATTCTAAAAATTCAAAAGTATTTATGATACCTTTTATTGGACATATTTTACCTTCCAGGGTAAACTAATGGTATTTTGTTATATTATCATTTTTGGTTTGTTTTAAAATTTAAAATCCTTATTTATATACTTATTTATTTTTTTATTTCTATCATTAATGATATCATGGGGAGAATCATTTCTTCTTTCATAAATATCAAATAATTTTTAATTTTTAGTGAATACCTAGGATTGCGGTTTTGATGTTTTTCATCTCTCAATTGCATGTATTAAAATCGTAAATTGTTTTTCATTTATATATATTTCTTATCAATAGTTTGATTTTTGTAGTTAAAATATTCATTTCTATAAATCCATATTAGATTGACACACACAAAGTTCTATTTTTAACCACTGTTACTCCATGAAGAAAAGATTAATAAGATTTGTGCTGTGTATCTCCATTATAACTTCTTATTTTATTTCTTTTATATTATGACAATTCATAAGAAATAATGCTACTAATATTAATATGCACACTTGTAACTTCTGAATTTTCTTTGAGATTATTTAAATCTTTATTCACTTGTTTTTATCTATCATTTAAATGAATAATTCTCATTTCTATTATAGTTTTAGGTGTTAATTTTGAAAAATCAGGATATATAAAACCTATTTTAGACATATTGAAATCTTATGTTCTTCTTTAACTCTATGATATTTATAGTAATAAATTAATACTATGTTTGGAACTACTTTAAAAAATTTATCTTTTTCTTCTAATGTAGTTTTAAATATGCAATCAACAGTTTTATAAAAATACCATATATTTACTTTTTTTAAAGTGCTAACTTGCTAAATATACTTTTGTTAAAAATAATAAATGACTAATTACAGTTAAAAATTTCTGAAATAAATTTCTATTTTTTTTCTAAGAGTATAGTAGTAGAATACGACGCCACTGACATTATTTTTAATTTTTAATATTAAAGATTTATTTTTTTCTTTAATTTAGATGGAGTAATGTATTATTATCATTTACATAAAAGTAAATCGAAGAAATTTTTTGAATATATTTTTACAATTAAAAAGTTTATATAATAAAGATTATTTACAAAAATAATAAAAAATTCGTTATCATAAGTCTTTTAAAAAAAAAATATGGTTAAACTATTTTTTTCTTTTTATATAAGATTAAAAACTATAATAACCAACATACAATATAATAATTTGTATTTATAAATTACACATCTGTCACAAAAAATTTAGTAATAAAAAAAGAATTATACCTCCATTATTCAATTAAAATAGAGGATTCTATACCTATTTAATAAATTAAGAATTTAAATTAAAATTTAATTAAATATTACACTTATAGAAACCCTTATATAAAATTCTATCATAACTGAAAAAACCACTTTAAATAGTAATTTTCTCAAAAATATAATTTAATATTTTTATATTTAATAGTTCAAACTCAATTTATTATTAAATTAATTAGTTACATAGTGATCATAAAATGATATTATAGACCTATTTTAAGTAATATTTAAATGTAGCATTAAATAAATATATTTTTCATCTTCACATTTTAAATATTAAAGAAAAAACGTTATCACCTAGATAATTAAACTATAGCGTACTAATAGAAAAAAAAAATATATTATATATATCATTTTTTGTTTGTACATAAAAAATAAAATTTTTATCCTTCTTTTTTTTTGGTATTACTGAAATTACGTAAGAGTATATGTGTAAATATGATAATTTTTTTTTTTTTTTGAATATAGCTTCTTTAAAAAACCGAATTTTGCTTAATTTTTTTTCTAGATTTGTGTTAATTTAAAAATATATTCTCAAGTATTATATTTGTAGAGTATGGTGTAAATTAACTTAAGTAATAAATAATAGATCCTATATTTAATATAATTTATAAAATATTAACTATTTTGTAGAATAATATATTTTATAGTAGATAAAATAAGTTGATATTTCTCTGCATATTCTTTATTAATCTATATGATGAATACTAGAAAAGTCATTGAATTCGTAGTTAATAAATCATACAATAAGGTATACCAATAAAAATAATTTAATTTTTTTCTACCTCAAAAAAAGACTCGAAAATTTTATAAAAGAAATTAAATCTTCTTATTAAAACCTATTTAGATATATCATATTTAATGCACTATTATAAAAGAAAAATACAAGCATGTCCTATTTTGCCATTCTTAACATATTTTTAAAATCCAGAAAAAAATGAAGAATCCATGGTTGATTAACTGCTTGTTCAATAACTTTGTTAGTGTTGAACAAACAATTTAATAAAGAGCATATAGAGAAAATCTATTTAATTTAATTTTAATTAAATTAAAATTTTAATTTAAAATATGTATTTTTTATTAATTAATTATTTATTTTTTAGGTTAAATTATACATAACTCCAAAATTCAATTTCCTTAATATTATAATTTTACTTAAAAAAAATATACACTCCACAGAAATCCATACGTCATCCAAAAAAAAAAAAAAAAAATATTATTTTTTTTATATTTTTTTTTTTTAGTGTACATTCCTTTTGAGTAACTATTTTAGTGCATGCATTTATAATTTATTATTGTATCCGTGATTCCTTATGCACAAAAAAAAATATTTCTATTCTTCTTATTCACCTAAATATTATACAAAAGAGCCCTTAATATTATTTATAGGCATATAGTCAATAAAACATTAGAGAAAACCCCAAAGCACTTTTGAAGACCTAATGTTAGTGGTATCAAAGAATATTTTACAAATTGATAAATTTGTTGATGTGTAATAGAAAATTTTAAAATAATAAAAATTAGGTATTATGAAAACCTAGTATATTTAATATAGTTTCATTAGATTCTGTGGATCTATGACAAAAAGAGAAGAATATTTTATATAGGTAACAATAGATCATTATTCATGTTTTATCTAGTATTTTTAAAGAAAAATATGCTGCGGTGATGCTATTGCCATGATAAAAAAAATTTTGATCCCTATATATGGATGTCAAGGAAATATTTTAATGGAACATAATTCTATTTATACAAGTCAAGAATTTCAAGAATATACGATCAAGTAGTTGCAAATAAAATTATATTGCACCATCATATATAATCTACAAGGAAATGGCACATATGAAAATTCATATAAAACTCTTGATTGTGTACTCAAAACTACAGATATAGAAAAAGACATGCTTTCTGAAGAAGTAGTTCAACATACAATACTAATTTTAATAATGCACCACATGGTTCTATAAAAGAAATATCATATTTAGCTATATTTAGTAATTATTATATATTATTAAGTTTTTCAAAATATTACCTGAAACTATACAGGAAATCAGGATAATTTATTTAAATTGTCAGCAGAAAAAGTATGCACAAATTTCAATAAACTTTAATAAAAATAAATAATTAAAAGAAAGGAAGTTAATGCCAATAATATTATTTTATATGAGTATTCAAAATATAATGGGAATAAAATAAATCATTTTAGTAGAATTATGCAATATAAACAATATTAGTTCCTTTCTCATAAAATAAATGAAAACTCAATTGTAATTTGAAATTACTCCCCATTAGTTTAAGAATTAGAGGAATTCATATTACACTTATAAAGATCAAATTTTTAGACAATAAAACAAAAAATCTACACGAATCTCAGTTAAAGAAAATAATAGAACTGAAAACCATAAGAAAAGTGGAAAATATATTCATTAGTTTAATCCTAAAAATTATCTTGACATTTATAAAAGAAATTAAGTTTAATTTATAATATGATTGATAAGAGCAGAAAAATAAATTAAAATATGCATGTATTTATTGTTATTAAAGCTAACAATCAAAATATTTACATAATTACTTTTCCCTTTACTGTGTAGAATTATCAATAAAAAATATTATTAACCTATTTAGTTATAATAAATAGTAAAATATATATAATTAAAGAATTAAATATATATTCATAATCTTCAAAATAATTTAGTTTTAGTTAGTTAAAATATTGTTTCAAAAAAAAACACTTTATTTTTTGGATTTTTTATTAATGTTAATTTATTGTAAGTTTTTTATTTTTTTCGGAATTAATATCTTTATTAAGAAAAGAATTAAATTGTATGAATAAATATTATTCATATAGCCAAAGATTCTTATATTGAAAATTAAATTTTTAACACAAATAAGGGAAAATTGTTATGTTATCGCATTAATGCTTCTTATTAAATAATTAATTCTTTATTAGTAATAAGAATATCACTTAAAAATACATTCACTTGAAATATTATAAATGTTATTTGAAATAAATTACTTTTTTTAGTCATGTAATGTAATCATATAAAGAATGTGTATTCGTTATCAAATTATTTTTATAATTAACAAATTGATAGAATTTCTCTACGTGCTTTTTACTAATATGTATATTCATTGCTTGATTTATTAATTTCCCATCCAATGACTTTATTA